GTTTGGTGGATGTCGGCGGCGGCGACCTGGTGGGCTGCTCGAGTTGCTCCGCGGCGACCTGCCCGCTCTAACGGTCGCGGGTCGAAGGGGGGCGCGAGGACGCGGCGGCGGCGGCGGGGAAAGACGGATGGGGAGACGAGCAGCTAAAGCAATACAAGCAGGCAAGGAGCAGGGCGGCCGACCGACCGGTGGGACAAACTCGCTCCTCTAGGGGGAGCGCAGGAGCGGGGAGTGGCGCGGCGTGGCGGCGTTGTAAGACGCCAGCCGAGCAAGACGGCCGCGCTCTTTTATCATCCGAAGCAGGCTTGCCCCTCTCTCTCTCTCCTCCCCTTTTCTTCTCCTCGTCCAGGTGCGAATCAAACGGCGATGGCGACCCCCAGCCGGCTGGACGGACGACTTTGCTCGACTTTGGCTGGCCCATCCGCGTTATCTCTCGCTCTCTTTCATTCTTGTCCGATTTTTGACGCGAGGGGCCAGCGACCCCTTGCTCTGGCTCCTCCCCCAAACGGTTGTCTGTTGGACTGGTCAGCTGTGTGGACGCTTTTGACTGACGGCTGTTTTGCTTTGTCTGTTGCAGGTGAGACGCTGACACGGTCTGCCACCGCTGATGCTGTAGCGGCCGGCTTTGCTGGCAAAGTAGCCGCTGGTTTGTATCGGCACGCCCGTCCGCGCGAGTGTGTGTGTGTGTGTGTGTTTGTGTGTGTGGGGGGGGGGGTGTGCGCGCGCGCGTGTGTGTGTGCGCATGTGTGTGTGTGTGTGCGTGTCGATAGCAACGTCGAGCCTGATTTACGCCGGCTACCCGGATCGGCTCGGCCGCCAGATGATACCGTCCCCGCTAAGCTATCAAAAATAATTTTGACTCACATGGCTTTTGGTAGTTGTTTTGCGATGGTATAATTTGATAAGGCACTGCCTAAAACATATTTCGATCTGATCTGTTTTGCTTTCCAAAGGTGGAATACGGTAAAATACCTGGCTCTTTCGTTCGACCTCTCGTCTCTTCTTCTCCCCCCTTTACCGGGGGCCCGGGTGTGCCGTGTGTTTGTTGGGGAGGGAGGGGAGGGGTTAGGCTCGACAGCTGGCGACCACACGATATGGGGTTTGGTTCCGTTTTTACGTCGACCCCGCGCCGCATGTTGCCATGAGCTTTTACTTCCCTTTGGGCGTCCTTTTAAAAAATAAAAGGGCCGAGAGCGGCAGCAGCTGATATCCTCGGCGTAGGGGAGGGAAGGGGTCGAAGGGCTATCGGTTCGGAAAAATGTTTCTGACGGTGCACTCTGTGTAGTCTTCACTCAGTTCGGAGGTGAAGGTGCACTGCTTCTGGCGGAGCAGCGCTTCCTGTGCCCCGGCCGCGGCCTGAGATTAGTGGCCCTCGTGTGAGAGGTGCGCAGAGCAACCGAGCGGCAGCCAATCAGAGAGCTTTGGTATCGCCTGGGGCCGCCACGGCCCGGGATCGCCCGTGCGAGGCTAGCGGTATGAAAAACTAGTTCCCTCCACACACAGACGCACACACGTCAACGTCAACAACGACAAAGACGTCGAAGCGTCGCCGCAGCACAACGGCTGCTATTTGCAAATGAAGATTATGCTGGAATAAACCATTTAAAATGGGTAACCAGCGTTGGCAGGTAAGAGCGAGTGTTCTAAAGAAGGAACTCTGCCTATTTAGTGAGGGTTTTTGTGATCTCATGGGATGGAGATACGATAATACTCAGGTTGTTGACATGTCCAGGCTAGGTTATGTTTTCTTGATCTACCTTTTCAGTATTGGCGTACCTCAATTTATTACACTGAAATAAGTACTAATAAGCATTAAATCATCCTTTCTCTTACAGGGGGCTCGTCACACTCGCACCAACATCAAAATGGGGGAAACCAGGCCGAAGCCTAAAACAGAAATTGGCATCTGCATCATCAAGAGGAAAACCCCAACATGCTGTGATGATGAGAACTGCACATTTCTCGAAGA